TTGCATTGTGTTAGTTATGTGGTCCAATGTTGGTCCAACATGCTCAAGATGTTCACTGTAAAGAAGGAGCGTGCAGGGCTTAGAAATCTTTTGAACAATCAATGGATTGGAAAATTTCTCTATGCTAATTGATTGTTGCATGTCCTTTTGTGTTGATGGCCATATTTGGTATTTCCTGTGACAAAATAAAGGCGCTAAACATTTTCTGAAGAACCACTTTGCTTGCTTGTGCAGTATTGAAGGGATAGTTTACTCAAAAATCATAATTGTTGTTCCAAACCTGTATGAGTTTCTTTCTTCTGCTGAGCACAAAAAAAGACATTTTGAAGAATCTTGGTAACCAAACAGTTGCCGTATGCAGTATGCAAAAACATACTATGGAAGTCAACAAACAAACTCAGAAACAAACTCAGAATTTTGATTGTTGGATGAACTATCCCTTTAAACCTGTTAGACTAATTAAATTAAACTAAAATGTAATTTTGTTGTTTTAAAGGTAAATCATATATGTGAACTTTTTTAATATTCTTTTTTAACAATAGACAATGGACAAATAAACATAAAATTTAACATTTATGAAGAGAATGATCTGCCATGTTTTATGTATTTTATTTTCTTATTGTTTAATTTTCTTTTCTGTTTTGTTTTCATTTTATTTTCTTATTAGTTGTTTTAATCCTTTTTCCCTCTTTGTATTTTATTATTATTTTGGTTCTATTTTTTATTATTATTTTGTTTTGTTTTTACTATTTTAATTAATATAAGCACTTTGTAAACACTTTTTTAAAGTTGAAATGAAATGGAAATTCACCCTGTTTATTTTCCAAATGACTGATTATGTTGTGAATGAATAATTTCATCCATGCATATGTTAATTTTTTTTTTACCTTAATTACCTTACCTTAATTTTTTTTACTGTAATTTTTAATCAAAGTGTCAATAAATCACAAACTTCTCTCTGGTGATATATGCCAGACTTCTCCAATCATTTCATCCAAAACCCCATCTTTTCCTTATAACTGACTGCAAACTGTCATTCAGATCTGCCTCTGTCCAATCAACAACTGATAGATTTATCCAGGTCATTTTTGTTATTTTTGATCATTTGATAATTAAATAAAATATCTGTCACTATTTCAGTCATATTGTAACTTTAAGCAAAATGTGATTTCATCTTTACTTGTAGATGCTTTACTAACTAAATTTAGTCAGATTTTATGGTTTGTGAAAATCTGACTTAGTATAAGAGCGTTTTTCAAGCATGAACATTAAAAAGCATTTCAGGCTGACCATTCATTTGATCATGTTTGTGACTCAGAATCATGAAGCCCTCTCTTTGATTCTCATTGGTAAACATGATCTCTGTGTGCTTTGATGAACGAGTAGGCTCACTCCTTTGTCAGTCTTCACAGGGCTGTGAAGGGGGGTTCATATTTTGCTGATTGCTTTGCTGCTTAGTGAAATTTTTCTTGTGTGTTTATGGTGGTGGTGTTATTTTCTACCCATTTCCTGTTCTTTTATCTTATCAGCACTTATTAAGTTTCCAGGGTTGAGTAAACACACACACACACACACACACACACACACACACACATGTTGTGTTTCCATGTTTTATGGGGACATTCCATAGGCGTAATGGTTTTTATACTGTACAAACTGTATGTGCTATTGCCCTACACCAACCCTACCCCTAAACCTACCCCTCACAGGAAACTTTGTGCATTTTTACTTTCTCAAAAAAACTCATTCTGTATGATTTATAAGCTTGTTTCCTCATGGGGACCTCAAAAATGTTCCCACAAAGTCCAAATTTACTAGTATTACTATCCTTGTGGGGACATTTGGTCCCCATAACGTGATAAATACCAGGTACACACACACACACACACACACTCCTTCACAGTTCTGTCCAGGCACAGTTGACTACTCTTTGAAAAAGAGAGATTGCTTTAGCCACCGAAACTTATATAATTTAATGTTAAATAATAAAAATAACAATACATTTTATTAATATAGCATGGTTTATCTTGAAAAACACCTGAATCCTCTGTATACTGACCTGAACTCTTTTATTTCTCATTGTTTGCCATAAAACAAGTGATGAGGCTGGTGCCCTTTTCATATGTGTTTGCTCTTCGTTCAGTTATATAATCAGTCATATAAATTTGATTAGATGATTATAATATTTCAATACTCCAGTTTTGGCATTTTAGGATAAAGATTAGGACTGTAACCACCTTAAATGTTCAAATATATTAAGTGGCCATTCAGAATGAACCCTTATATTATTATCAAGCAATAGCAAGCAAGTTTTCTTTTTTTACCAGTGCAATATTTTTGTAGGGCCCTTAAAAGCGTGAAATGGACTTATATTTTCCCCTGCTCCCTTTGACGTCACCGCTCAGAATGTCACCAGTGAAGGGCTTGAGACTGTGTGTGTTCTTGTGTTGTCGTTCACCAATCAGCATTGTCATGACATAATTTCTCTCAATTTTGATACAATAAAAGTGTCTTTCACTTGTCACTGTCTAACTATCAAATATTATTACTTGCATAGATATTCAGATAATTGGATGGATGGACGGGGCTGTTTGATGGATTGGTGGGTGGATGGATGGAAGGAAGGATGAATGGATGGGTAGATGGATGGGCTGATGGACAGATGGATGGTTTAATAGGTGGATGGATGGATGGATGAATGGATGGGCTGATGGACAGATGGATGGTTTAATAGGTGGATGGATGGATGGATGAATGGATGGGCTGATGGACAGATGGATGGTTTAATAGGTGGATGGATGGATGGATGAATGGATGGGCTGATGGACAGATGGATGGTTTAATAGGTGGATGGATGGATGGATGAATGGATGGGCGGATGGGTAGATGGATGGTTGAATAGGTGGATGGATGAATGGATGAGTGGGTGGGTGGATGGATGGATGATGAGCTGATAGGTGGAATGATGGATGGATAGGTGGGTGGATGGATGGATGATGGATAGGCTGATAGAGAGATGGATGTGCTGACGGATTGATGGGTGGGTGGATGGATTTAATGGATTGATGCATGGATGGATAGGCTGATGGATAGATGGGTGGGCTGATGGATGATGGATGGATGGACAGGCTGATTGATGGATTGATAGATGAATGGATGGATGGGTCGGTGGATGGATTTAATAGATGGATAGATGGCTGATGGATAGATGAGTGGGCTGATGGATGGAAGGATGGGCGGATCGATGGGAAAATGAATGGTAAAAGAGATAGATTTAGGTCTGATTGAAAGTCATTGTAGAAGTATTTTCATTGTATGTAAAAATAGCAGTCAGGTGGCATTGCTGAAAAATGATGTGATATTCCCTAATGATTCCACCTGATCCCGCTGACCTATGGATGAATGACAGTAGAGCTGTAGGTTGGACCCGCTGACTAATGACTCGAGCGCTCAGTCAGTCAGTGTGTCCAATGGGTTAATTCATGCTCTGCGAGGAATCTATCTGCTTCTTTCTCATAGGAACCTGCTATTTCTTTTTTTTGTGACCGTTAATGCCCACCAACAGCTCGTGGAGAACAATATCCAGCTGTACTGCTGATTTGACAGCGATGTTTATTGATTGTTTTTTTAGACTCGTGTGTGTGTATGGCAGTCGAAAATCTATGAGCAGCTTTTTGCGATGTGAATCAATAAGGTCGGGAATTATGAGCTGGAATTCGCTTAAGATCATGGAAGTACTGAATCCAGGGGCTCATTAGAGCTGATTGGAGTTGGTGGAAAGTCCAACTGTTTTATTGCTTTCGGCTGGAAGTCGGACGTTTTTTTTTCTCGGATAACAATCGGGATAAGGACCACTGTCCACTGTATTCGCACCCGATGGCTAAAAATAATAGTGTGTATAATCGCGAATGAGATCTGGAGAATTTCCTCACAATTCAGCGACCATCTGTGATCCAGATATCAGCAGCGGGCTAATCTGGATCCTGTAGCGGCATCGGCTCGGATCATCAGCCCATCGGGATCTGAGGGATCACTTTCATAGATCGCCCATCATCACCACTAAAGGTAAGAGCTTGTGTTTGAGTGTGTGACATGAAGGCTTTGATGGGCAGCATGATTTCATAAACTACAGCCTGCATTTCTACACGTTTGCACCTGTTGTTTTAATGGCTTTGAACTGACTGATCGGTGAAACGGGAGGTGTAGCGTGCATAAATTGTGAGTTAATATTTTTGCTGGTTTTAAACATCCATTGTTTAAATTATTAAAACATTATAAAACATGAGGATGATATCATTATTTTTATTAATAATAATAATAATTGGCTAATAATAATAAACTAAAGAACTTTAGGATGGCTTTTTATTTGTATTAGTTTTTATTATTATTATTATTAATTTAAACAACAACAGCAAAAACGTAGTACTATTTATTAGGCTAGGGCTCTTATTTTTTGTCTAATTTTTATTTATTTTTGTATTTATTATTATTATCATTTTTCTTTAATAGTAGTAATAATAATATTAATTTGCTGTTTACTTTTAAGGATGTAATTTTATTTTTAATTTATTATTATTACATTATTATTATTTTATTATTATTATTACTGCTGCAATTATTGCTATGTTTTTTTGGATGTCTATGATGATGATAACAATAATAACTTGCAATAGCTCTTTACTTTTAAGGATGTCTTATCTTTTTGATTTATTTTAAAATGTATTTAAAATTGCCCTTTAAAAAATCCCCAATCCCCTATTCCCAAAAGCTGTGCAAAACGCAAACAACATTATGTATAATTAATTGCTGGCACGCAGATGGCAGTTTCCGGGCAAATTATTCACCTTAGTCTCATTTGACAAGTCAGGTGGTGCCCAGCCAACACCCCCTTCAGGGAAAAAAGTGATAAACATGCTAATGACTAGAGAACCTGGAGGAGCGTGTGCAGTGTGAGAGAACAGGAGTGGCGGTGCAGTCCGGGGGGCTGGTGAGCAGTGTGTGTGTGTGTGTGTGTGTGTGTGTATGCACTCTCAACGGAGCTGCAGAGGCAGGACTATGCCACCAAGCCACTGTTATTATGAGCCCACCGATGACACCAGAGTGTGACATGAGGGAGATGCTGACTGGCTAAAGGGATGAATGAACGCATGAATGAGTGACTACCTACTCCAGACTGCTGAAATTTTAACCACGGGGTTCTGGGCACTTTATGCTGCTCGGGGAGAGGACCAGCACTGGGACGTAGTCAGGCTGTGGCTCTGTGGGACAGCCTGCCGTTGTGCTCTGAGTCCGGAGTGCGCTGTCAGATGGAGGTCACCGATCTGGATCTGGATCCGGACCCCCGGGCGGAGGGGTCTGAAGGAGAGGGTCCGTGCGTCCCGAGCAGTCCTGGGACAGAGCCTGTTGTGCTTGAGTATCCTGCAGGGTATGATCCGTACGGGTAAGCTACAGGGATCACTGCTGCTGTCCCGGGAGCTTGCTGCTTTAACACTCTGGCATGTAGGGAATGTGTTTCAAACTGCTTTTTTGTTGTATGTGCTCTGATTTTACTGTTAAACATGTCTTTGTTTTAATGAGAGTGGAGAGATGTCCTGCTTTGATACTTCTGTTTTGGTATGTGTGTGATCACTGGCTTGATTTTTATTTGTATTGATTTTAATAACTTGAAATGTATTTATGCTCGGGTCTGTCCTTCGAACCGTAGGTTGCCTTTGTAAGAGGTTTAGATTATTTTGACATGATGTGGAATGACATTTCGACAATGGACTTGTTTCCAGTGACTTTGTGAAGCACTGCACTTGACTCTTGTATTTTTGACATTTTAATTGCAATTCATCTGCTGTTTTCTGGGAATCTTAGAATGTGATGTGGCACTGTTGGATTGGAAAGTTTTGCCCTCAGTTGAACACATTGATCAATTCTGCCTCCATCTCTTAGTTACACTCTTTATATCCAGACACTCCATTATCCCTCCTGAACAGAACACTCTGTTTGCAATGGATAATTACATGACAAGCAGTGTCCTATAATGTGACATGTTGTACTGCACCTAAAACTATTTAACTGTTACTTTAACTATAAAACTGCGATCTAATTCTGTATAATCATTATAAATGCAAGTAAATTAGTGACTACATTGAATATTTGTACTTTTATTCAGTCATTCTTCATGCCAGCACAGGACTATTTAAATTAACGGCATTAAAATCGTGAGAAATGTGCTGTGACTGGCCAACATTACTTTTACATTGATTTCTTATATATATGTATTTACACTGTTGTTCAAAAATTTGGGGTCTGTATGTTTTTTTTTTTGTTTTTTTGTTTTTGAAAGAAGTCTCTTATGCTGACCAAGGCTGCATTTATTTGATCAAAAATACAGTAAAAAACAGTAAAATTATCAAATATTATTACAATTTAAAATAACTGTTTTCTATTTGAATATATTTTAAAATATAATTTATTCTTGTGATGCAAAGCTGAATTTTCAGCATCATTACTCCAGTCTTCAGTGTCACATGATCTTTCAGGAATCGTGCTAATATGCTGATTTGCTGCTCAAGAAACATTTCTTATTATTATCAATGTTGAAAACAGTTCATTAATATTTTTGTGGAGCTGTGATATATTTTTTGTGTACATTATTTAATTATTTTGATGAATAAAAAGTTCAAAATACCATTTATTTGAAAGAAATCTTTTGTAACATTATAAATGTTTTTACTGTCACTTTTAATCAATTTAATGTGTCCTTCACTGAAAAAAATGGCATAGAAACTAATTTCTCTCAGAAATACCTAGTAAATGTTAATACATTGAATTGCACATTACCTTTTTTTTAAGAAAGACTGAAATAGTATTTTCTTGTAAAACATACTGAAGTAATCTTTGTATTATTACGACTACAAAAAATCCTTTTTTTACAGTGTTGCTGAATAAAAGTGAGAATTTTTCCTCTTTTTATTTTACTGACCCCCAACCTTTTGAACAGTAAATTATAATATAAAATGAAATAGATATATACATTAAAATCTAGGTGTCTACAGTTTTTTTGCAGACAAACTTATTAATAATAATTATTAATATATGTTATATAATAATTATTAATATATGTATTAAAATAATTAAATTTATTCATAATTGTTTTTGTTTTTACACGCCAATGTAGAACGTCATATGTAGTCAAGAGGAAACCGTTTGGATACACAGCAAAGTTAATTTTGCTCACTAAGTTTCTACACCATTTAAAATGTGTATTCATAATTGTGATGTGTGTAGTTAGCCAGTTAAAAAAATTAATTGCATGTGTAGCATGATTTATGAGTTATTTCATGAGCTATTTTAAAACAGCAAAGTATGCATCAACCATCAACAAAGTGGGACCATTAGAAAACAAGAAGTTGATTTGAATGCTAATGAACCTGGAGGCATTGTGATGATTACCTTAATTAAAATTGCCCACATACACAGTTCATCTGTGCTTTTTCGCTTTCAGGGACAATGATTTATTTGGCCAGTTCAGCTCTACTTGTGCAAAATGTTGACATATGGTGCTTTATAGTCCTTCAGACAGTACCCTGTAAAGATGGAGAAATAAAAAGCAAAATATTTGGTATTAATGAGCTTTCACATCGAAAATAATTACAGACATTAATTAATTGGCGTGAAACATTCCACCAATTATAATCTTTTATTTTTATTAATCATTTCAGACATTAAACGTTATAGTAGATTAATGAGAACTCAACTGAAGAAAATATTTTGATAGAAAACATGCCCATCTTTATTATATGTTACAGGTTAAACTGTCAGTAAGATTTTCTTTTTTCTTTTTTATAAGAAATTAATAGTTTTATTCAGCAAGGACAGATTAAATTGATCCAAAGTGTCAGGAAAGAGTTTTACAACTTTACAAAAAGATTTTTATTTAAAATCAATTCTGCTCTTTTGAACTTTGAATAAATTTTTTTATTATTAATTACGGACTCTTTATGCTGTAGCCCAAGTGTTAGATGCTTCTAATCTAAGGCAATTACATCTCTACATTTGATAGAGAGATTCTGGACTTGAACCAGAGATATTTTAAGCTACTCTCAGCCCATTAAAGGCTTTGCACATCCCAATCAACTGCCCCATTAAAGCAAACCCCCAGTTTCCTACATTTGTCCCAAGGCAGCATCCATATTTTACAAGGGTGTGCCATCCATCATGGGATATGTCCTTCAGCAGACTGCTAATACAAACTCAAGCTGTATGTGTTTTACTCTGATGTGGTACCTGGCTGTAGCCCAGCACATACTGTGATTGTGGGCTCATGTCCCAAAGCGTAGTCTGTGATCTGGAACCTCCTGCCCCTTCATGCTGACTGCTGCTTCAAGTGGCTTTTCTCTCGCTCTCTTGCTCTCTGCTGACGGTGTGCTGGTATTTAACCTGCAGGGTGACCACATTGTCCCCATGAGAGCTTTAGGTTCCTGTACAGGACACCAGCAGTGCAGCGTCACACTCTGAAGGAAGAGCTGCACTGTTAGTGTTTTCTGTAAATTACACAGTATTTAACTGTAATATGAACTGTACTTTACTGTAAAACAGTTATACAGTACGTTACTGTATTTTAAAGTTGCATTATGGGAAATATCCTCTTGGCGCCATTAAAATACAGTATTTTTCATTTACTGTAAATCCAAATACAGTAAAAAAAAAATTAGCGCGAAACCTGACCAATGACAGAAAGGCTTTTTTTTCTGCTTGGAGAAAGAAGAAGAAGAAGAAGAAAAGGAAGACACCTTGCAGCTTTTTTGCAAAGCTATAAATAACACAATAAAAAAACATGAATATGATAAATTATTTTATTTATTTATTTTTTTAGGAGATTCAATTCTACGCAGCAAAAAAATGGATGCTGGCGATCGCTGCCAGTAAGTTACTGTAATTTCTACAGGAAATTTTTAACTGTGCTTTTAGCTCTGCTGAAGGAAGTAAATAAGTAAATCTCTGTAAATCAGACAAGAGACAGATTTGTAAGGTCCACTTAGTAATTCTGACTCATTTAAAAAGTATTTTACAAATAAATGAATTGCATTTTTGAGAAAATCATGTACACTCACATGAAGACCCATGTTATAACAATAGTCTAATATATGTGTGTGTGTGTGTGTGTGTGTATGTATGTATGTATTAAAGATAGATTTTTATTTTTAAAGAAATTTATACATTTGTTCGGCAATGAGACATTAAATTGATAAAAAGATTTCTATAACAAATAAATGCTGTTCATTTGAACTTTCTATTTTTCAAAGAATTCTGGAAAAACTATCATGGTTTTCATAAAATATTAAGCAGCAAAATGGTTTTCAACATTAATAATAAATGTTTCTTGAGCAGCAAATCGGCATATTAGAATGATTTTCTGAAGGATCATGTGACACTGAAGACTGGAGTAATGATGCTGAAAATTCAGCTTTGCATCACAGGAATACATTTCATTTTAAAATATATTAATTAGTGCTGTCAAAATTAACGCGTTAACGTGTGTGATTACGTTTTCCAGTTTAATGCGTTAAAAATATTTTAAGAATTTTACCTATAATAGTTAGAATAGTATGTAATATATATAATAGTTTGTAACAATGTTTTGTTTGAGTCTTAACTGAATCTGTGAAAATATTAAAATGTTATTGCAAGGATTACAATTGAACAATTAAAAAAATTAAAAGTTACACAGTTGTCATTGCTTATTTTCATAAAATAATTAAATTATTTTTTTCTTGTATTTCAATACGTTACTGAAGAAAATACCATAAAATTACTGTATATTTTACAGTAAAAACTACAAGTACAGTATACATACTGTAAATACATTTACAGCAAGTGAAATGGTACTGTAATTATTAATACAGTACTTTTACTGTAAGTTTAATTTACAGTAAGTTACTGGCGAACTGCTGCCAGTAAGTTACTGTAATTTCTACAGGAAATTTTTAACTGTGCTTTTAGCTCTGCTGAAGGAAGTAAATAAGTAAATCTCTGTAAATCAGACAAGAGACAGATTTGTAAGGTCCACTTAGTAATTCTGACTCATTTAAAAAGTATTTTACAAATAAATGAATTGCATTTTTGAGAAAATCATGTACACTCACATGTGAAGACCCATGTTATAACAAGTCTAATATATGTGTGTGTGTGTGTGTGTGTGTATGTATGTATGTATTAAAGATAGATTTTTATTTTTAAAGAAATTTATACATTTGTTCGGCAATGAGACATTAAATTGATAAAAAGATTTCTATAACAAATAAATGCTGTTCATTTGAACTTTCTATTTTTCAAAGAATTCTGGAAAAACTATCATGGTTTTCATAAAATATTAAGCAGCAAAATGGTTTTCAACATTAATAATAAATGTTTCTTGAGCAGCAAATCGGCATATTAGAATGATTTTCTGAAGGATCATGTGACACTGAAGACTGGAGTAATGATGCTGAAAATTCAGCTTTGCATCACAGGAATACATTTCATTTTAAAATATATTAATTAGTGCTGTCAAAATTAACGCGTTAACGTGTGTGATTACGTTTTTCAGTTTAATGCGTTAAAAATATTTAACGCGATTAACGCGGTGCTAGGGTTGGCCACCCCACTCACAAGCATTGTGTTTATTTAGACACAGAATGCTTTATGATCACTTTAAATGGGAGAATTTCAGACGCGCACTCCAACTTCACCTCAGCATCAGGCGCCAGTCAAACGAGCGCAAAATAAAAGCTACATGTGATGAGGGAGCTTCAGTTGAACAACAGTGAACTGCAGTCAGATGAGATGCTTTCAGGTCATATGTCAGTAAAAACAAATTTCCTGTCCTGTCAGCCATTAAACTGTGCTCGTAGCATGTGCTCTTCAATTGCACGCACAAATGCGGCGGCGTGCTGTAGCCTGTATCATTTCATGTCAAAGTGCGAAAGAAACTGCGAGCATGCAAGGTCATAGTTATGTCGTCAGTTAGCCCAAGTCATGAAGTTACCAAAAAGGCGATTAAAGCTGCCTCAAAACTGTGCATACAAATAAGTATTTGTTATATATTAGTCACATTTACAGTAAGAACATGTCTCTGAAATGCAGTGGTTTTCAAAACTGTTCACTTAAATTAGAATTTGTTATTTTTTCAAGTCTAATAAATGTTAAAATTGATAGCTCTCAATTATACTGTAATGCTGAATGGCTATAATCAATGGTTAAATATTAGGGGGGGAAATACAATTTCATAGAGACATCAGTACTATTGGTATCAGTGATACTCGCCTTCAGTCATAAAAAAGATGCCATTAATCAAATATTAAAATATATACTTCTTTATGTTGTTTCCACATTCATTTGAAGATTGAATGTGAAATTTTTGCAATATAAAAGTATATTTAAAAACGTTCATGTTAGGTGGGATTAATCGTGATAAAAAAATGTGCGATTAATTAGTTAATTTGTTTTAATCAATTGACAGCACTAATATTAATAAAGAAAATAGTTATTTTAGATTGCAATAATATTTCACAATATTACTTTTTTTTTACGGTATTTTTGATATAATGCAGTCTTGGTGAGCATAAGAGACCTCTTTCAAAAACGTACAAACTTTTGAACAGTAGTATATCTGTATGTATATTTAAGTATAAGACATAAAATTACTGAATTCACGCAATGTTGAAAAATTGTGTATATATATATATATATATTTATTTATTTTACTTTTTTTCAGTATACACATTGTCATGCCGAAACAGGAAAAAATCCACCCACAATCCTATTAGTTATAAAGGAGATTCCACATAATGGCCACATTTAATTGGCCACCCTGCTTTCTAGATATCATTTATTATCAGCATCAGATATAGAAAAACCAATATCAACAAATACTGTGAAGTTTTATACAGAAACACTCAACTTCTGTAAGTAAAACGCTGCGGTCAGTTGTGCTTTCTCTACCACTTTAAATCTAAGGCTAATCTAAACAATTTTACATTGTTGAAAGCTTGATTTATTTTGGATGTATTTTAATAACATTTAGAGCATGGTTGGCGGCTGTCATATGGGCCATGAGCCAGAAACTACAATAAAGCCTTCAGTGGGTTTGGTTGTGGGAGTACTTGGTACGCTCAGAATCCATCTTGATCTGTGAAACGGCCTGCAGGATGTGGAGTGCATTTTGAGTGGGCTTTTGACACTCAAGCCCATTTTTTAAAGCTCATGTTTTCGAAAGGCACTCACTTCATACTAATCAACACAGAGCCCAATTACTGAGAGAAACTCCGTCTCACATCTTTATCTGACACCATTGTGTTAAAATGATTCCCACAGCTTTAACATTGCTGAAAAATTAATAGAGAATTTCTGCTCATGCTAACCATGACATCTGAGAAATGAGAGATTTCCACATAAAGAGCAATTCTAGCTTGATTTGTAGTTATTGCTATGTTGACTTCTTGAACTCCGCATACATTTGTTTAGCAAAATTACTGTTACTTTGGGTATGCAGAATTATTCCATTTATATTATACTAGGATCAATATACTGTCTATTATGTGGCCATTTTGAGAATATCATATCGACCTATAACTGAAATTGCAGAAATTGTCATTATATATAGTTTCAGATACAAAATTATTATTCTTTTTTATTCAGATATTCTGGTTGCACTTTATTTTATGGTGTCCTTGTTACAGTGCAATTATATAGTACAGTTAAGGACTGAGTAATATTTATTAGCAACATGTACTTACTATAGGATTAGGGTTTGGTTTAGGGTTAGCTGCTTGTAATTATACATAATTCACTGTTATTACTATAGTAAGTACATGTAACGTAACAAGGACACTAAAACAAAGTGTTACCATTTTTTATTGTAAAATGAACACATTAATAATTAGTTGAGTAATAAAAAAAAACACATCTTATTGGTTATATGCTACCATTCAAAAATTTGGGGTCAGTAAGATTCTTTTTTTCTTTTTTTGAAAGAAAAAAGCTTTTATTCTCATATTTTAACTAAGCGAGGACACATTAATTTGATAAAATATGACAATAAAGACATTTACAATGTTACAAAATATTTTTCTGTTTCAAATAAATGCTCTTTTCACAGATTCCACCAAAATATTAAGCAGCACAACTGTTTTTAGCATTGATAAAGTAAGAAATGTTTCTTGAGCACCAAATCAACATAGAATGATTTCTGATGGATCATGTGACACCAAAGACTGTAATAATGCTGCTGAAAATTCAGCTTTTAATCACAGGAATAAATTAAATTTTTAAAATATATTCATAGAAATAGAAAACATTTATTTTTAAATTGTAATAATATTTCACAACATTACTCTTTTTACTGTATGGCAATGGTGACCATAAGATACTTATGAATACACACTTAAAAAAAATATTGCCATCCCCAAACTTTTGAACGGCAGTGTTTATAAAATGTATTATGTATATATCTGCATTATATTGTCCATCATTCACCCTAGTTTCTTGTTATTGGTATCAGCCATTATAAAACCCATATTAGTTGACCACTAGTTCATATATGAGAAAATGCAGTTGTTAAAGGTAAAAACTGCAGTTGTCAGCAGGATTTTAATGGCACTATAATAAACACCTGTAAACAATAACTGCGCTCTCACAGACACTGGAGACTCCACCCATATATTCACTAACACAAGGGTAATTCAGAGGGCCAGTGAACGCTTTCAGCTTTAATAGCTTGCCATTTTATGGCTACTTATTTCATTAGCTTTAATCCTCATATGCACTGAAACAGCCTTCGTATTCTTTTACAACAAGATTTTCACCTAATAATGCAGCAGAACATTGGAAGTACAGTGATATTTGCTGAGCAAAGTGATGACGGATGAGCCCTCCGTGGAGACAATAATGGTCATTTTCATATAATCAACTTATAGTCTAATGTAGATCTGCAGCAATGTATGATTTGTGTAAATCATTGCCGTGTCTTTTGGTCTGGTTGGTTGAGCTTGTTCTTCTGCTCTCTCTCTCTCAGGGAGAAGATGCCGTTCCACCATGTGACGGCAGGATTGCTGTACAAGGGGAACTATTTGAGTCGCTCACTCTCTGAACACAGCAACAGCGAACAGCTCGCCAACATCTCGGTGGAGGAACTAGATGGTGAGCCATGACCTTACAGACAAAAACACAAATACTTGGCTCTATATTTACTGAAAGTCAAACTTTGAACCACTTTTTTGTTATGAGGGCGGCTTTATATTTCAATTGGTTATTCAGTGTGAAGGTTATGAATGTTATTAATTATGAAGGTTATTCACTCCATAATTATTCCCATTAAAGGAATAGTTCATTCAGAAATGAATGAATTTCCTGGTGTCTTTGTGTGCTTCTTTTAAATTACATTTGGTGTTATGTATTTATGTATTATTTTATGAAGATTTGGTACTGTTGTTGAAATACAAAAAAAATACAAAAAAAATTAAGGATTTTTGAGGAAAGATAGCAGCAAAATATGTTATTATATTATATTATTATATATTAGTCATTAATGAAAAAGCATATATTCTTAAATGAAGCTATTAGAGTTTGTCAGTCAATCAGATACAGTTATACTGTAGGTCAAATGGCTAAATAATGGCAAAGATATTGATCCTATTACTGATATAAATCAAATATTTCTGAATAACAAAAACAACAGTAATTTTACTAAACAATTTAGTTAAAGAAGTCAGCGTAAGGGTGAGAGACTAACATTTTTGAAGAACATTATCAGCAAATGCAAAAAAAAAAAACACAAATATTATATTATATTCTATTATTATAAATGTTTAAGGGATAATAAATTGTGTCAGCTAGCTTTGAGTTATGTACGCATGTATATTAATTTCTGAATGAGAATGAATTACTGATCCCTTAAGAATTATATAATTTTTTATTAATAACTTTTTAATGAAGGCTATTACTGAGCATTACCCTGAAGTGCTTTTGGTTTTCATATGTAAATCAGGCATTAAATCATAAATAAAAAAATGTATAAAAATGACAATAAAAGCTGCGCATGTCCCCCCAACACTCTTCATCATGAATCGGGGCGAGTGAGGCAAAGTGCTAATCAGTTAACACTGCCTTTGTCAGCAGAAAGGACATGAAGAGAAATACATCGAACCCTTGAGGCCTGAAAATGAATGTTTAAGTGACATATTAACACCACAGGGCATCTGCAGATATGCAGAGCTGCTACAAGTCATTGACTTTGTTGATTTTGCTCTGAAACAGTCCAAACTGTGAAATCCATTTGCTGGAGTCCTGCTGATGTTGTATTGATCGTATCAGGAGGGGTGAGCAAATACTAGCGTCTTAATCACAGAGATACTCTTGTGTAAGAGAAACATGGGGGTTCTGGAGTTCTTACGGTATTAAAATGCATTTAAATGCAGAGCAAATCTAACTGAATCTGCATTTGATATGGCAGCAAAATGTTTCTGTGATAAGATTTCCCAGATGTTAAAATTATAGTTCACCCAAACATAACTTAACTGCAGGACATCCAATATGCAGGGTGACTTTTTTTCTTCAGTAGAATAGTAAAAAAAAAAAGTGTTTTTGCTGAAACTGTAGTCCTTGTGTTACGGGCAGAGAACTCAGAATCCAGTTGCAAGTGAAAAGTGATTTATTGTGACAATTAAATAGTGAAGCTGGGTCGCAAGCCAAACGTGATGATCAAGGTGAGTAGCCGTGAGCACACGGGGATTACGAAGTCCCGACCTGATCCAACTAGGGGAGAGGAATCCAACGAGACTTCGATGGGTTCCTAGACTGGACATAATCCGAGACAGAGGACTGGAAACAATCCGAGGCAGAGATCCACCCGACACACAGGCTCTGGAGAGACAACAAGCATGAGCCAGGACAAACAACGATCTGACAACACGCAGCCCAACACACGAGACAAATAAAGACAGGACAGAACGAGCGGCAGGTGCAGCCGCGCTGATTAGCTCGTCAGTCCCTTGGTTGCCGGAGCAACGCTGACGAGCAATCAGACAGGTAACACAAAAAGACACGCAGAATTGAACACACGGATCCATGAACCGTGACACCTTGGCGATTTATACAATGCAAGTTAATGGCTACTGTCACTTTCAAAGTAAAAAAAATCATATCAGGCAACACAAATTAATACCTGTGACTCCTGACGATATATTGAGGTCTTACAAAACAAAATAACTGGTCTGTGCAAGAAACTAATGTTATTTAAAACATTGTTACCTGTAATCCATAACCTCAGGCAAACCAGGAAGCCTGATTCTTTTCCGTGAACTTGTTATTTGGGACAGTTCGTTTCAATGAACCGATTCAAATAAACGATTCACCAGTTTGTTTACATAATGACACAATGACGTAATGTATAAGCAATTATATTATTAAAGCACCCAATAATGATGTGAAACGTGGATGTTTTACATGTCTAAAGCATATACATAGTGGATAAACTTGTTTTCATCAGCTCACCTTTTTACATAAACGATAAACTATAAAAACTCGCTTTTTGCCCCTTCATTCAAGTGCTCAGTTCATGCCTGCGCAAAGCAGCGTCTCATCCATCTTCGGTCCGAGTCAGAGCCGTTTCTTCAGTTCAGTGAATTGCTGGAGTAACTGGAGCGTTGAATGAGTTGGCCAAAACCGGCTTTTGATTGAGTAACTTATAGATCTCTGCTGCTCGAGCCGTGAACTGTTTCAGACGATTCAGTCCGATTTGGTGATCTGATTCAAAAGAATGATTCGTTTGTGAACCGGACATCATTCCAGACCGTTTGCTTGACACTGTGGATTACAGGGGCCTGAGGGTGAGTAAATTAATAGAACATTTTCATTTTTTGGGTGAACTATCCCTTTAAGAGGAACATTATGCTTACAAACTGCTGAATAATAATTTGTCTCATTGATGTAAATGTTCAAAATAGGCAAATATACTTTCAGAAGATTTCTGTACATTTGTAAAAGTCAATAGCCATATCAAGATCACATTTCTAGAAAGAAAGACATTTCTGTTAAATATCTTAGCATAATCTCATTACATCTAAAGGTATTAGATCTGAAAATTGATTATTGCATCATCTGCCATTTTCGCCTCTAAAATGAACACAGCTTGTCAGAGAAATAGCCAGAATTGAGAGGACAAAATGTTTCAGAAGATTGTGTTCAAACAGGCTTTACTTCCGCAACAGACTCCTTCTGCATATATTCATGAGTTTGCCTCTACGTACAAAAACAAATCTAGTGCCTTTACTGTGCAATCACTTTGCAGCTCTCCTAAAATCTTCTTGCATGTGTGTGTCTGTGTGGAATAAAAATTATCAGCCTCCTTTTCCTAAGACAGATGTTCTTAATTGGCTCTGAAACATAACTCAGTGTAAATGTGCATCGTCAGTGTAAATGTGCATAACTGTTGATATAAAAGCCATTTGTGTGGCAATGATTGTGACAGTATATATAAAACATGTAATGGTTGATAAATATCTTTAGAGATGTGTTTTTATGTCCTCCTGACAAAGCTAATTGTTACTTATAGGCAGTGTTGGGCAAGTTACTCTGAAAATGTAATCAAATTACTGATTACTGATTACTCCTTTTAAAAGTAATCACGTTACTGTTCTGATGACTTTATTTCAAAAGTAATTAGTAATTAGTTACATTACTAGTTACATTACTTTTTTCTCCATTAAATTTATGAAATCCCAGCATACATGCTCCCGATAAATATCTGTTATTAAAGCATCAACATTCACAGAGAACTGTTATTTTTAACTAAAGCAAGTGGCTGCTGCGTGCATGGTTTAGCATGGCAGAATGCCAGCAAAGAGTGCAGCATTTATAATCTCTAAAAGACATCTCAGTTCATCGCAATCTCACAAATCTCTGTTATAACACAATAAATATATGCATAATGAATCTTTCATAATGTCTACAATTCGTGTGTTATAATGAGAGGATTCGTGAGCACACAAATTTCAGCACTGCATTGCTTAACGTTGTAAACGTGTTATAGAAACTCTGCATACGCTTGCACCTGTTAATCGTTTATATTTTATATTAGTTCATGTTGCTTTTGTGCAATAGATGAATAACAATTTATTTGTTTTAGATATTTTATGTTTAGATATTACTATTTTGCGGGAGTCCCGTGAATCATTTTATTCTCCCGCATCCCGCACACACACAAGTGTCTACCCGCCCGCACCAGCACTCGCTCATCTTGTCCCGCGCTGCACTCTGTTGCGTCGGGTCTCGGGGGAGCAGGTCTCTAATCCACTGGCACTTGACTCGACAGTGCGTGTGCTACATCCTTTTTACAATCTCTAGATTATAAAACACTGCATTCTGTCAGCAATGTAACGCGGCAGTAATGTATAGGGACTTCGGCTTGTAACTATACTCTAATTACTATTTTGAAAATTATAACGCGTTAAATTACTCAGTTACTAAAAAAGTAATCAAATTACAGTAACGCGTTACTAAGTAATGCATTACTGCCCAACACTGCTTATAGGTACCTACTTTTTTAGCCTGTTTGATCCTGATTTGGTGTGAGTTGCAGATTATTTGACAGACAACATGGTCGGTGAGACACTTTTAGTAAATAGATAGGGTTGAACTTCAGTCCTATTAGCAGGTTCGCCCAGTCATGGAAAACCTGTAAATATAAGGGAATTTAAATGTTTTTCACAACTGGAAAGGTCTCGGAAATGAATACAATTTAAAAAATCATGGAAAGTAATGTGTGTTTCTGTTGTCAGTATTGATTTTTATAGTCATGCTCTGCTCTAGAACATTCCAACATCTCACTAGATATACTGTAGCTTTGAGCCCTTATGTAGAGTAAAATGTATTAACCGATAACATCAATGTGTTCATTGAGCATAAGTGCTTGTGGGATTCATTGGGTGGCAGATATTACTAGCTAATTATGTTTTTTTTTTTTGGAGGGACAATTCAAAAATTGTCTTTCTTAAGAAGAAAATGGCCATTTATTTTCCTTATTGGAGATTTTTCTACTCTAGATAGTTTAATGATTGCTATAATTATTTGTTATATATTTATTTTTTTAGTTTGTTTTTAAATTCTTAAGTTATTAATTTTATTTTTAAAATTACTTTTTATCTCATCAAATGTATAATTGAATAAATGACCCTGGCAAAGAATTTGTACCTGAAATTAAAATGGAAATCTGCCCCAGAATTCTCTATAAAATTATGTTAAAAATTAATTAGTCTAAAAACGACTGGAAATATCATGGAACAATTATGGGAATTCGATTTTAAATTTTAGGAACCCTAATTTAGTGTTTAAATCAGCTGTTCAATGGCTTGCAAAAATATTATTATTATAATAGAAGAAAAAATAACAGTAGCCTGTCAGTCACACTGTCCAGGATATGTCAAAAAAGAAAAGGCAAACTAATTGTTATTCATTTAGCAGTTAATATTTAAAAAAAATAATAAATAAAAAATATTATTTTTAAAATCTTTTTTTTTTAAAGCTTTTTCTCTTATCAAATGTGTTATTGAATGTATGACCCTGACAACAGCATAACTTGTTGCTATGATAATGTGCCGTCTTAAAGGGATAGAGTTGCTGGTCCTCATTGACTTCCATAGTATGGAAAAAAAAAACATTATGCAAGTCAATGGGGACCAGCAACTGAAGGTGAACTATCCCTTTAAGTCTTGATTTAGATGGATAAGAATAGTACAGCATGTTGTCAAAGCTTTTGTTTCCTGTGTGTTAATTCCCAGGTTGCTTGACTTCAACTGGCGTTATACGTAGGCAAAATTACCCAATGTACTGCTGTGTGCTCGAGCATGCAGCACAACCGTTGTGCTCTTCAGAGATGTGACTCTCAAGCTCTATTTTTAAACACCAATCCTTTGCTGCCACAAGTTTTCTCCTCACAGAAGATTCGCTTATAAAATATGCATTTGATGGAGCCAACTCCTCGTCTCCACTGTTTGAGATATATATGAATTTCAGAGGCAGAGTCCTCCTCTGTAGAGCAGATATCAAAAGAAAAAGCCAGGAAAAAGCCTGGCCTTAAGTTGTGTTTTTGTGGCTGGTTAAAATTCATATAGTACTGTTTTCAGTAGTAAAATGAACAGTAAATTAAGAATCTGACAAGCATTTTGAGAAAAGAAACAGCGCAGCAGTGTGTGTCGCCACTGGTGTAATAGCAGGTGCAGAGAAGGTGGCAAATCACTGCAATCATTGGACGACCAGTGAGATGTCTTATGATGGGAAGTCACCTGAGGTGTTGAGTCACATACTTGTTTGTCTTGGCAGAGATCCGGGAGGCGTTCAGGGTCCTGGATCGGGATGGCAATGGGTTCATCTCCAAGCAGGAGCTTGGCATGGCCATGCGCTCACTAGGGTACATGCCCAGTGAAGTGGAGCTGGCAATCATCATGCAGAGATTGGACATGGATGGTGAGTTCCTCTACTCACCAACACACACATTTGCATTCCTGTCATTAGTGGTAATTGTCATAGATGTCTATTGGTTTTATACAGCAATAATGATATTTTCTATCTTCTAACCTTATATCTCAAGGATAATATTTAGCATGCATATTTATTTAGCTGTTTTCCCACTGAGAACTGTTACTCTGTTCATTCAAAGTAGAGTAAAAAAGTAATAATGTGAAATATTATTACAATTTAAAATAACTGTTTTCTATTTGAATATATTTTAAAATGTAATTTATTCCTGTGACACAAAGCTGAATTTTCAGCATCATTACTCCAGTCTTCAGTGTCACATGATCCTTCAGAAATCATTCTAATATACTTTTCTAATATGCTTTAATGCTCAAGAAACATTTCTTATTATTATCATCACAACAGTTGCGCTGCTTCATATTTTTGTGGAAACCATGATATAATTTAAGCATTTCCTTGATGAATAGAAAGTTCAAAAGAACAGCATTTGTTTTTAAATAGGAACATTTGTAACATTGTAAACGTCTTTACTGTCACTTTTGATCAATTTAAGCGTCTTTACTGAATAAATGTATTAATTTCTTTCAGAAGAACCTAATGTTTTCAGTTATATTATTATTTATATTTTAATAGTAATTATATTTAGAAATACTTTAAAAACACATTTCATTTATTTAGCTTTTTTCTTGGTTATGTGTGGGAATATAACCCAAATGTGAAGAATTTTTGATGTTTGATCTGACAGTTTCATTGAGTTGGACAGGAGCATTTATTTGTGTGTGATGCTCTGATTGTACTCAGATTCAGCTACTATATTGTTGATTGCAGACACTGCTGGGTTTTTATTCTCAAAGCAATTTGCTTCAGTTTCATCTCCTCTAAGCCAGCAGAACTAATCTACAGGCTTTCAGGCCTGACATATTTTGCAGTAAATCTGTAGAGAAGACTCTCTTTTTTTGTACGAGGAGTTTAAGTGGAAATGAATTAATAAAGCAGTAATGTTTTCCTGCTTCATTACCATATGGTCATAAAACAGTAACTGGAGATTACCTTTGATTTAAGGCTGTTCACTTTAGATTAGGGGCCCCACATTAATTTTCTATGACAGCTAAATTCTGTTTTAATAACATTTTCATCACATTTTTTAAGTTTTTATTTTTAGAAAGGGCTTTTGCCTAGTCGTCTGAGGACGTTTTGTCATGATCAGAGAACTAGACTCTTTTACTTTGAACCTAAAGCCATAAATCTATAATATGAAACAGCATGAGCATGAACATTAGTGATAGATTTACTGTTTGAGAGTTTGTTGAATAAAATAAAATGCATGCCCTCTTGGTTATGAATACAAAGAAACATATTTTTTTTGTCATAAAGTAAATGGCTAAAGCTATTTGTGCTAAAATATATTAAAAAAAAATTCATATTCCAATTTTCCATAACATTGTTGGATTATTGAGCTTTTAGCTGTAATTTAGGTGTAAACATAATAAATACTAATAATTATGATTATGATTTAAGGGATAGTTCACCCAAAAATGAAAATTCTGTCCTCATATATTCACCAAACAAACCAACATTCTTTGAAATATCTTCTTTTGTGTTCAACAGCTGAAAGAAATGATATGCAATTATATTACGTAGCGCCTGAAAATAGTCCCCAGCACGCTCCCTGTGCAAGCAGGTGGTCATGTTGGTTATGTTGACGGTAGTTAGCCTATTTGCAGGCGTGGCGCTGAGGTCATACGAATTAGCCACCTAATAAATTGTGAATTGCTGTGAGATTGGATTTCAACGAACAGCGTAAGATCGGCAGTAAAGGTGTTTGTCATTCATTTTTGTAAATAATTAATACTGATGCTTGTTAAATCAATGATATCAATGATAAAATTACCATATGTCCACTTTTTCACGTACATGTCCTGGCTGAGATTTCTAAATTGCCTAAAATGTCTGTTTTGGCTTTGTTTTTTTCTATTGTTTTCATGCTTGCTGAAGGTAATAACTGTATAGTAGTTTGGCCAATAGTGTGCAGGTGTTGTACATAATCGACCAATCATGCCGTGCGAGAAGGTGGGATCTACAATTCTGCCTCTAGTGGCTCAGATATGATACACCTCACCTTTAATGCCTCCAGTCATAAAATGATGCCCTTAATTTCAAATCTAGCTTTTGGGATTTGCGAGCGGGATTCTGACTTTAATTTGTTTTTCAGGTGATGGACAGGTGGACTTTGATGAGTTCATGACGATACTCGGACCGAAGCTCCTGTCCTCTGAAACACGGGAAGGTTTCCTTGGAAACACAATCGACAGCATATTCTGGCAGGTAAGACGCAGTGGAGGACAATTTACCGGTGGCTGTGCAGGACTCAACTTCAAAGGGTTTTAAATTTGCAATATTATATAAGCCTTTTTATTGGTATGATGCTTGTTTTTCTGAATAACAGGAATGAGAGGCATCGTTGAGGGTCTGAACGGTGGTGCATTGTCTGGATAATGTTACAATAGTGACATTTGTGTGTTGATTGTGGTTTTCTGGAATGGTATTCAGCTGATTTGAGTTGGGTGATAGCAGTGTTTGGCTTTGAGGATCCCTGTGGGTTTAGTGTAGTCTCAGGATTGTGATGGAGTGCTGTGTGATGATTTTGGAGAAGATGAAGCAGAGCCCATGCCAGCCCCACTTGGCTGAGACAGGTGCTCATGACCTTGGCTGGCACCGTCAGAGTTTGACAACTCAATATTTACAGAGGCCAGATCGCTCACTCTTTGAATGACCAGGGAGATATGTAATAGACATTACTCTAACCCTGACTTTTTATAAACTGTAATAAATGTCTGCGTAAAGTAACTTGACAGGCACCTTTTGGTTATATTTTACCAAAACATTAAATAGCCACAAACACCTCCATAGCAGCAACTGCATCTGCACTGTGAAATTATTTGGTATAACATTTTAAAAATGCTGCTGATTTATGTAGCTAATTAGAATAATTGAAATTATTGCATATCCTATGATTGAAAAGTTTTTTTAAATGTGTTTAAGAATGTTAACATTTGAATGTTTTTGAAAGAATCATTGAATGTCTCTTATGATATTACTGTTTTTAATAAATACAGCATTAGAGAATGCTGTAATTATTCAAAACAGTAATAGCATGAAGTATTATTACAATTTAAAATAACACTTTTCTATTTGAATATATTTTAAAATGTAATTTATTCCTGTGAAGGCAAAGCTGAATTTTCAGCAGTCATTACTCCAGTGTTCAGTGTCACATGATCCTTCAGAAATCATTTTAATATGCTGATATGATGCTCAAGAAACGTTCTTATTATTATCAGTTGAAATGATAGGTCACTATGTTGGGTATTCAGAACCCCTCTTGACCAAAAACACTGTTATATAAGCACATGCTGAATGCCTGGCAATAAGCTTGTTTTTCTGGTTTCCACACTGCCTGCTGTTATTATAGAGATAAATGTGTGAAATATATGAAATATATGACTTTATATATTTGTATATACCTTTATAGCTTATTAGCTTACTATGCTTATTAGCTTAACACATTACCAAAAGTGTTTAAGTACACAAAAATGCTGATTAGTTTGAATATGTGCTTAAATATTACTTAAAATATCTTACAGAATCAAAAGTATTTGCGTACAGTATATCAGTAATAGCCCACCTGCCCCAGTGTTATTTTAGTATTATTTTCTGTATGTACTATTATAGTATTTATTAATATTTTTAATTAGCTTTAATTTTGATATATTCAGTTTTTAATTTAAGTTTTAATACTTTTTGTGATTTTGTCATTTTATTAAATAAATTATTTTTTTAATATTTCTATTTAGCTTTAATTTAATTTATTTCAGTATTTCAATTTGAGTAATTTTATTACTTCAGCTTTGGTTCCAGATTTCTAATATTTTATTTGAGCTTTATTTCAATTAATGAAAATGAATAATTTTGAATACTTGCATTTAAGGTGAAAGGACTCTCATATATATGAAGACTTTCATATATTACAGGATTAAACCAGAAAAACTGTTAGCGTACACTCAGTGTGATGACTCCTTTCACTGCTAATTTAAGTGATATGTGTCCTTTTGTTGTTTTTAGACATGGAGCGTTTGATCTTGTGTTGTTTTCTGTCTAAATTAATCTAGTCACAAGAGTGGCTCATTCCCCCTGTGAGGGGAAATCATCATTGAGACGACCCCATCTATCATCTGCGTGTGAAGTAGGATGAATCAACCTTCCCATTATGAAGGACGTTTTTCCTGTTATATATCCAGTTCCAGCCAGTGCTGGTAGAGAGTCACTTCCTGTGTGCCTTCACTATTCCTGGTGTATGTCAGCAGAGGACGGGACAGTTCCCCGCAGCAGTGCTCCTCACATGATTTTGCTTTAGGACCAACATGTGACATTGCAAAAGCGGTGACTAAAATATATAGGAATTGTTTGTATCTACCTATGAATTCTATATGAACTGTTAAACTACTGTTAAAAAAAAATCTTATTCAGCAAGGATGCATTAAATTGATCTAAATTGACAGTCAAGACATTTATAATGCTACAAAAGATTTCTAATTAAAATTAAATGCTGTTCTTTTGAACTTTCTATTCATCAAAGAATCCTGAAAAAAAAAATCATAATTTCCACAAATACATTAAACAGCACAACTGTTTTCAACATTGTTAATAATAATAAATGTTTCGTGAGCATCAAATCAGCAGATTAGAATGATTTCTGAATTAGGATGAATGAGTAGTAGACACTTAAGTGAAGTGACATGTGGCCAAGTATGGTGACCCATACTAGGAATTAATGCTCTGCATTTATCCCATCCAAAGTGCACACACACAGCAGTGAACACACACACACACCGTGAACACACACCTGGAGCAGTGGGCAGCCATTTTTTGCTGCGGCGCCCGGGGAGCAGTTGGGGGTTCGGTGCCTTGCTCAAGGGCACCTCAGTCGTGGTATTGAAGGTGGGAGAGAGCGCTGTACATTCACTCCCCCCACCTACAATCCCTGCCGGTACGAGACTCGAACCCGCAACCTTTGGGTTACGAGTCCGACTCTCTAACCATTAGGCCACGACTTCCCCAACTGGTGGACAAGGAAATTCACTTTTTTCTCCTTCACCCACTATGTGCTCAGTTTTGCTGTGTGCTTTGGGTCATTGTCATGTTGGAAAGTAGGGATGCACCGATACCACTTTTTCCAGTACTTGCCCGATACCGGCCTGTAGTCTCCTGGGCATGCTGTCAAAAAGGTTCATGCAAACCTGAACTTCAATATTTTTCCCAGACAATTTTTATCAAATTTTACTCGTAGTCCACTGTATGAAGAATTTTTGGGTATAATATATCACAGTTTAGTTTATTTTGTTATCCTCACTTTACAACTCCATTGCAGCGGCTTAGTATACTGTAATCACGTGATTTGCTGTAAAAATGCAGTGAACCACTCGCTATAAATCTCCTAACTGTGATATTTTCAGAAATATAAGTCATTTTTTTCATCTGAAACGTGCAGCGATTTATTTTCCAAAGCCACTCATATAATGCAGAAACATTCATGAAGCCTAGCGCATTTCACACAGGCTGTTAGTTTCACTTTCGCCAGAAAGTCGTGTATGCTTAAGGGTGAAAATAAATGACGTTTATAGTGAATGCCCCTATAAATGGTCTTATATTTACGACTTAGTTTTAATCCAAATGATGCGTGCTAAGTGAGCAAACATCAATAAAGATCACACAAAAGTGTACGCGCTCTCTCTCTCTCTCCCTCCCTACCATTAAGTAACTTGTGCATTGTTTTACTTCTTTTTGACATATCTGACCGAACTACAAACTTTCCAGTGATGTCTGTGAAACATTTTAACAAGTACGAGTATGAGTACGAGTACAGGAGCTCAGTATCAGGCCCGATACCAGTATCGGTATCGGTGCAGCCCTATTGGAAAGTAAAACTTTTCATTGACAACTTTCTGGCAGAGGGCAGCAGATTTTCCTCAAGAATTTGACGATATTTTGCCCCATCCATATTTCCTTCTATCCTGACAAGTGCTCCAGTCCCTGCTACAGAGAAACACCCCCAGAACAAGATGTTACCACCTCCATGCTTTACTAGGGGCGGACTTAGTGATTTGGGGGCCCTAAGCAAATTTCAGGTATGAGGCCCCAACACAATAACTGTGCTCTTTTACGCCTAACCCTTATTTTGCTCGCTCGCTCTCATAGTTTATTTATCCCTTCACAACCAGTAATTAGTCAACCTGATGCTGTTCTAAAGCCATATTATGCTACCGTTTTTTCAGATCATGAAAGAAGATAAAAAAAATGCTTGCACTTGTCTATTTAATAAATTGTAAACTTTTTCAATCTTTTTACAAACATGAAATTATCCCATGCAACTCATTCCATAGTCCAAGAGTTCTGAAGGCATACGGTAGGGTTTGCCAAGAAACAAATCGAAAATGTAATCTATTATTAAGCAAAAATCTCCAGTCATTGCATTCGTGCATTTATACATGCATTTTTCTTTAAAAAAAATAAACTTTTTCGTTCTTTTAAAAACTCTCTACACTGCACAATTAATCTCTTATTTACATCGTATCTACACTCGTGACTGCATGTGCCCTTTCTTGAGGAGTGGCTCTTTTCTTGCAACCCTCCCATACACAGGGGAGCGTTCCAGGCCCCCCCTCCTTCGTCAGACACTTGGAATCGTCCTAACCTCCTGACTTGTGCCTGTCCACAACTTTCTCCCGGAGATCTTTTGACAGTGCCTTGCCACCCATAGTTGATTGTTTGCTTCAGTTGCACTACCAAGGACTGAAATGCTCCAGGAAAGCTCTTTTCATGCTGAGCTAATCAAAATGACCACAGCTGATAATAGTTGGAAGTCAAATGGCTTTGTGTGCCATTGAGAAGGTGATTAGCTACACCTTTTTCTAACTCAGTGATTCTGTTTTTTAATTTTTTTCTGACATGTTGGTGTTATATCTTTCACTTGGATGTCATAAGTTGCATTACAATTCCAACCACTAATATTGGCACCCTTGGTAAATATGAGCAAAGGTGGCTGTGAAAATAAATCTGCATCGTTTATCTTTTTGATCTTTCATTCAAAAAATTCACAAAATTCTAACCTATCATTGAAGTAAAACAATGGACAGTGGGGGGAAAATCATATTATGAAATAAATGTTTTTCTGTAGTTCACATTAGCCACAATTATTGGCACCCAATTATTGCAACGTCCTTTTCCCAAGATAACAGCTCTGAGTTTTCTCCTATAATGCCTGATGA